ATCTTTTAATTCACTTTCGGTAGGTGTAGTCCCTGTCTCTTATACCCATCTAGATGTGTATAAGAGACAGCTGCTATATATTGGAATGATAGCTACTTATATAGCCGAACATTAGAGCCTACTGCTAAAGTAGAACAAGAAATTCGGAACAATTCACGCTGAGTACACTCATTTTTATCAGAGTGAAATAACATGAAATTAAACTACAGTATTATTTTTAGCAGACGTTGGTAACCTTTGAGATAACAATAATCTCAAATAGCCAGCGGCTGATTTCATACAGTGCCAGAAAATGAAAGCATGTTTTTCAATGCCAAATGTGACATATATGACGTTAAAATTCGTTGAATAATGAAGCAATCTATTCGGCCTAAATCCAAAATAAAACGGCATTTAGTCGTACTCTATTGATAAGATATGATACTTAACCAGTCGTTGTGAGGACACCCATTCTCCAAACCCCTCCCTCTCAATGCTGCGCTCCTCGTTTGACGATTTCGTCATCTACACCGCAGTTCTCTTTTTTTTATATTTTCCCAATGAGTTACGATAGGTGTGATATGAATATTGATACGGTCGTTGTACTCGTGTCCCCCTCCCCATTCTCTTATATAATGAGTTCATTACCGATGTAAAAGTGAAAGATTGATGTGCACAGACGGTCAGTTTATTGCTATTTTTGTATTTCTGGCATTATGTTTGGTCCTTATGGAATAACTTTAGACAATACGTACCTCCAGCCTGTACCAGCAGTTTAAAGGGTAACATTCCTTTCAAAAGTATGAATTGTATGCCATATTCATTTAATGATACCGTAGGGTACGAAACATTAAAGCGGTGAAACGTTGTGTCGACAGTCTGCTCGATGGTAAACCAAAGTGGATTTTAAGACTTAAAATTCGAGGTTCAACATGTTAGATTAATTTTTTTTTATGATACACATACATCATTTTGGCATTGGGCGATTATCTGAAGTGTATTATCGTGTCTCTGAGTCATGAAACTAAATAATATAAAATACCCAGCCAAACTTACTGTTGAGCCTCGCTTTGTTTATTTACATGTCATTTAAGTCAGAATACTCAATACTCAAGAAGTACGATTCACGAATAAGATTTTCGGAAAAATAATTTTAAAAATATTTATTTTCTTTCATCTGTTTTTACAAACCTTTCAATATTCTACATTGGAACAACAAAATTGATATGCTATCGATATAGAAAGTAGCAAACCTTCTCATACAACATGGACATTATTCCTACTCTTTTTACATTATTGAATGACGTCATCGGAAGCGTATTTGTCAGCCTTATCGTTATCTTTGTTATAAATTAAGCGTTGACTTTATTAATGCTCTGTATCTAATAAAATCAATTAGGTTATAGAACGATAAGTTAGTAATTCATTATGGATTTTCACTATCGAGTAATGCTGTTAATTTTGTTTTATTTTAATGCTACGTTTTACGTCAGCCTGTAATATTATCTCTGTTAAAAAAAATATTGCATCTTGTCAGATCATGGAGGAAAGAAACTCTTTCCTCCATGGTCAGATATTCTAAAATATCTAAAAAAATATATATACACAAAATTATTGGTGGGCATTAATATTTAATTTAAAAAAAAACATATATTAAATACTTATATGGTAAATAATCTACCAGTCCAAACCTACACAAATATTTTGAAAAAATAACATCACAAACATAAATACGGTAATATTACATCTTAAATTATATTAAATCCTAAATTATCTTAAAGTATTGATCTTAAAGTTTTGTTGTAATCGTGACAGCTACGGTATATTTAAAAAAAAGCATAAACTCAATGCTTTTGTAAAATCATTTGACTTGTTTGATGTTTATCAATTGCTATAAACGTGAAACGAAAGTTCACTGTCTGTTATCGTATTTTCTGAAAAAATAAGTTTCAGTGAAAGCACTTTATAACCGCCTATCGAGTCATAATCTTTTAATTCACTTTCGGTATGTGTAGTCCTGGAGGGCGATGAAGCATTACCGGTAATAATAACTTTCAGTGTGTTAAAGTATGGTTCTCAGAAAATATTGTCTTGAGTTTCGGTGATATTACTCTCTGAACATCATCGAGAGAAGACGCTTGGTGATTCCCGGTGACGGTCAGATTTTCTTTCAAGGAATCACGTTTTTTTTTTTTTGTTTTTTTTTTATCAGAACCATGGTGTACTGGAAATTTATTACTAATGTTTACTCCTCATGTCTTCAAAGGTTGAAATATTTATTCCTAATATACTAATACATACTAAACATTGCACTGCTAAAATTTGAAGAATAAAAATATCAGTATTTTTGGCCTAATCTGCTAATAAAAAAAAAACATTCTTTGGTGAAAAAGAATACTGAAACTCTCCAGCTGGCGTGCAGTTTATGTTTGATTAATTATTCGATGGCTAGGGTTCTAAGCCTAAATCATTCATTTTAATTATTTCCTTCAGAGTACAAATATACCCTGGTGGGAGGAAGATACTGTACGCTTTTATACAAAATACAAAATAATATAAAAATTAAAATAATTATTTTATTGTATAACTTTTCATGGGGGGGGGGGGGTCACAGAATATATGGTTTGTACTCTCTAGGAATGTTTTAAAATAATATGGATGACACTTAACATTAGGTCTATCGGTTTTATGTTGACCTTTAAGTTTTTACATTCTGAATATGTAAAACGAGTTTACCATTCAGAGAGAGGCGCTTTAAAGGGCGTGGTCGATGTGATACGAATTCAATATAGGCCTATAAAGTCACTTAAAAAAATAAAAAAATAAAAATAAACAAATAAATAAATAAACAAATAAAAAAAATAATAATAATAATTCACTTCGACCGATGCGACAATATGACGTTGCATGATTCTGGCTGAAGAGTGATCCCGTCGACAGGTTGAAGGTTTGGTTTTGGTGCACCCTCTGGTACATCTAAATTAAATCCATGAAGAAGGTTAGTGAAAAATAAAAACACTGTACTTTTGCCGAGAGGTTCACCTGGACATCTTCTACTGCCTGTAAGATAAAAAACACGTAAATGCTCGAATAAGCGGCGCTCTCGAATAAACGCCGCACCAAAGAGTATAGAAAGTATATTTTTTACCCTGTGTGTAATAAAACACTGAGAAATACTATGTATACAGTGTTAAAATGAATAAATAACACAATGAAGACAGCATTTCTTTATAAACGTTTATTTACGATGACGTAGGATCTATGATATGCCTACTGAACTACGGAAATACGTAAGACAGGTAACATGGAAACGGGCACGAAAAGCGCCACGGCGTTTATATCCTAATCTCTATTTAATTCCGTGATGTACGGTAGGTTGGCATATCCTTGTTAATTGTGTGATATGGAATTGTGTGTAGGGAGTTATTAAACTCGCATTCCGGGATCGTATTAAACATTCTAATTTTTTTCACATAATAATATTACAGATTCTGTAATCACGACTGCAATTATATGTATAAGGTTATTTAAAATACCGTTTGCAAAAAATGCAAATAGAATAATGATTAAATAGGCCCAGGCCTAGACCTCACAAAAACTTAATGAGAAACTAATAACAAAAAAAGGAAGAACAACCAACCTAGTACCGATAAAATTTAATGAGAACCTGTTTATAACATCCACTGACTTGAATTAAAACAATACACTAGGTCATAGACTTTACTGTAGAATACGATTATCGACCACGACCTGACAAAATATTTTTTTGAAGGATAGCACCCGTGCGAGGTTGAACTTTGGTATTGTTAGATTAATTTTATCACCTTCGGCGTTATTCCCGATATCCTTGACCCTCAAAATCACCATCCTCAATACTCGGGATACCACCACCGGGAAAATAACCGGACTCTGAACTTTTTTCAGATTGTTCGTGGTTTCGGTTTATACCTGAAAAAGAACTCCTTCTTTGAACTCTAAGAGGTTTGTAAAGTCGTGTTCATTTTGTCTCGATGTTCTGAAAACATGACTCCTGACTGGAAAGTGTAACCAATGAAACTATAGCAAGCCTACCACCCATATACAAATCAAGATCTCGAACAGACATAATAATTACAAAGCTATTGCTGCAAATATTGTTAAATCGATACAATGTTAGACTAAACAGAAACCCGGAAAACACCATCTTACGGACATACTTAATGGCTTCCTCAGCAAGAAGTTTTGTATCATACAGCTAATTTCGTTCATAGCAAAAACCTTAGATGCATATCACTACTAAATCGATCTAATTTTCTTGAACTTCATATAGGGACATATCTTTGGTTTGTATATTTTTTATCAATGTACAATAATACCGTAAAATTTGAAGTGACCCTCCCGAAGTTAGAGACGAGTTTAAAACTAGTTGATTCACCTACCTATTCCAAACGGAATCCATTCCTTCGGGAGCTGCACTTTTCTGCCATCTTCGCTTAAGAACCTCTCGGGCTTGAACTCTTCAGGGCTTTCCCACGTAGATGGATCATGCATTATGGAATAGAGATTTCCAATTACTTGTACACCCTTCGGTATATGGTAGCCGTTGAAAACTGTTTCCTTTGTCGTGGAATGCGGCACACCTTTAAAAATTATAAATAACGAAAGCGGTTAAAATAGAGGAAAAAATTGTTACACAGTTATTTTGTAATAGGTGCACAATATGCCAAGTGCAAATATTCAACAATGCCATTGTAAATTCTATACAAATATAGGGCTTCCTTGTTATTCAATTGAGTATTATATTTTTCTTTCTGTGTTTAGTCTCAATTTCAAAATGTTCACTTCAAAATTGAAGGTTGCAAAAGGCGTAAGATATGCGGTATAGTTCCATCATGTGCCACAGATAAGATTGTACAGTTTTGTTTAATTTTGACTATATCAAGTGAGAAATCTAATTTGCATAATTATACCTACCAAGTGGAACAGAACATGTCATGCGCATAACTTCGTATACAGTTGCGCACGTGAATGGTAAGTTGTCTATATCCTCCAAGACTACGTTCCGCTGATGACCAACCACTGTATCAATTTCTTCCTGAATCTTACGCTGTACATCTTTATACACAATTGAGTACATCATCATGAACTTCATTGTGGAGGATGTAGTGTCGGAACCCCCGGCTATGAGATCAACGATGGTGAACAACAATGCATCCTTGGCCATCGTCGTCTCCTCTTGGTTAGCTTGCTTTCTGTCCATTTCAATGAAATATGCATCAATGAAACTCTTCGCTTCAGCAGGATCGTTCGTAGACGGTGGCATCAGTCGCTTGTCAACAAACTGACAGAACTCGTCGTAATACTTATGGAACGTGTGGAAGGAGCTCCCCGGAATATATCGCAGGAACGGCAAGTAGTTAAAGATGCCGGCCGAACCCATCATATCTAAGCAATATCGCGTAATACGTTGGAGTTTTCTGAAGTTCTCATCGGTGTATTCAAATCTCTCCCCGAATGCAATAGAGTAAATTATGTTGGCAACCGCATTGCTCGTTAGCTCATCTAGTTTGCATGGTTTGTCGACCATGTTCGAAAGCTCCGACATAAAGAAATCAACTTCGGTGAGAATTCGTCCACTTATGCTGCGTTTGCCCATTCCAAAATGGCGCAGGAGTTTGACAGTGAACTTGCGATGTTCTTTCCACTGCTGACCATAGTATGCGGATCCAATACCTTTAGTAAAACATAATAATTATGGATTAATTTGATGTTCGCATTACCTGCTGAATCAAATTATAGTGGTACTTTGGTACGGGAATTGCATGGTGAGGAATCCGGCCAGTACCTCCTAGTCAAAGATATTTGTTTTAAGCGGGAAACACTTAAACCTCTATTCTATATTGAACATAACCTGATAGGCCTATTAAAAATGAGGAATCGGAATTAGGCGTACTATTATTAAAGAGGAATTAGACTTTCTTATTCATTGTACAGAGATCGTCTTGGAATCTTCAAACACTTAATATACAGCGACTGTTCAATCCATTTAAATGATCAGTAAAACATGCCTCTAATGGAGCTTTTGTTATTTTATCAACATGTCTATAATAATAATAATAATTTATTGAACTTACACTTTTGTTACAGTGGCACTCGTCAATTGACGGTGCGTTCAAGACCAACAAATTTACAAAAGAAGTTACATTAAAAAAAGATACAAAAAGCACAAGCACAAAATTTGAAAGCCCCTTCTTATCATAACTTAACAATTAAACTTAAATTAAACTACTTAAAGTAAATAAATACAAAGTAGATACGGAAATACAGACTTATTTTCCTGTACAGTACTATAGGCCAAAACTTACACACGCACATCTAGGTAAACACAATCTAAAAAGAGAAATATTGAGAAGAGGAAAAAAAAAAAATTAAAAAAAAATAAATAAATAAAATAAATAAATAAAAAAATAAAAAAATTTAAAAAAATTAATTAATTAATTAAAAATCTGCTCAGTCGTTAAATGCTTCTGAAAACAACAGATTGGTCTGAACAGTTCTGTCTCCATTGTTTTGTACAGGGAATATTGACTTATTTTAGAGGAGGGATGAACTTTAGAATGGCATTAGGAGGAACGATATTAGGCCTACTGACGCAGATCTATAGTGTTATCTAGACAACTCCCAATGGTCGAAAGAAAATATTTCGTTTTGCAGTTTTGAAGTACATTATAATACTATTATTTTATTCCAAAATTGTTTTTAGTTTTATTTAAAATTTATTATTTTCAATTTTTATTATCAATATTGTTATCTTATTTGTCATTTTGATCTTAACAAATGTAGACATAGAGTTAGGTCTAACTTTAGGCTAATAAAATATTTATTTTATTTGTCATTTTAATTTATTAATGAACAAAGACAGAGAGTTAGGCCTACCTTTAGGCTGCTCAGTATGTATTTATCTCAATAATAATAATAATAATGATAATGATGATGATGATAATGATAATAATAATAATAACCCATATTATGTACCATATAACACTTATTGATGTTGCCATCTGGAACGTTTTACTACATTAGTTTCACCAGTCATTAGCCAACGTTGACCTCTGAAAATATATTGACTCCACATCTATTAACCGCAAGTGGCCTTGTTTGAATATGTGATAGTGAATTGAATGAAATGGGGCAAAATTGGTTCTGGTTTTAGGGTCGACTGAATTTTTAGAATCAGAGTTGTTAACTTGTTATGTAATGTGTTTTTGACATAGACAATGGCTTATACGATCTAGCTAGATTATGTAAATCTTTGTAAGCCTGCAAGTGATCGGCAGTTCAAGCGTTACCATTTGTGTTGTGCGTTACCATTTGTGTTGTGCACAGGTATACAACCAACCCCTGTAGGCCTACATACTGTATGAACATGTTCGTTATAAAGGCGGTGGTTTATTTGATTATTATTCTTATTACTGAAATTGGAGCCAGCAAATAATACGGACGATAAGCCACAAGAAAGCCGCTTTGGGTATTGTTTAGAATTATGATTACGCTGGTTGTTATTAAATTCATTGTGCTGACCGTGTGAAAGCCCTCGGCTCTTTGTACAAATTCAACGAATTGTACGTACTTTTAGATTACTGTTGTCATTCAACGACAAATCGATAATAGTTAGAGCTATTTTTAGCTATTGGAAATGATAATAACATACTAAAAATTCATGTATTTCTTTGTCAATTGTCGATGGATGCTCAGAGCGTTCGATATAATTTTCGCACTTAGGAAATTAGTGGAATGACCTCAATAAAATCGCTTACGTAACTTTTCCTAAAACGTGTTTGGTATTTTATTTGTGCGTGTCAATGGAGCAAACAATGTCTACGTTCTATTCATTTCCTAGGCCTACTTCTATCGTGACTACGAGTATCTACGAGTATCGTGACTACGAGTATATAATAAGTAAATTTACTGAATGAGAGTATCATAACTCATGATGAATATAGGCCAAAAAGAGGGAAATGCATGTATAAATTATACCAGGCATGCAGGCTTCGGGTTTCTTCGGCCCCCCTCGTTTGTAAAGTTGCGGTAGGCATAGTCAGAGATAT